GGCCCCGGGTTTCCTTGTAAAAATTTAGATAATTTCTTTGAACATTGTAATGGGTGTGGGAAAGAGTTTAAGAATGAGAATTGTTTTACCCACCATATCACCTCAAATTTCTGTAATTCCTCCAAAAAATGTGAAAAATGTGGAGTTATCTGGGATGTTAAGGATAATAATAGGAACGGAAGGGAGGGTCATATTTGTTCAGAACGCTATTGCACAACATGTGGTAGTTACCACGATCCCAAACGTGGGTGTTACATAAAGCCCCTTGTCATTAAACCCCCAAAGGCGTACCGAATTATCGCCTTTGATTTTGAAACCATGCAATATCGTGAGGGGGATAAGGGTAAAATGCACGATGTTAACTTCATAGGGGTAAAGGTAAATTGTCCCGGGTGTATCACTAATGGACCTGACCCTGATTGTAGTGTTTGTGGGGAACATAGGACTGTTACTTTCTCTACGAGACCTTTCCAAAACACGCCTGTTGACAGTCAAAATGTCACAGAGAATCCCTTAGAAGAATTTGTGTCATGGATTATCGATTCTTCCGTGACAGACACTGTTGCTTTCTCACACTTTGGGGGTAGATTTGATATGGTATTAGTTTTCAAGGAATTGTTTCTTAGAGGGTTGACCCCAGACATGATTAAAAAAGGTAATAAGTTGTATGAAATGAAGGTAAAAGTTGGTAAAAAACATTGGGTAATTTTTCGTGACACTTTTAATTTAATGCCCATGTCCCTTGCTTCCTTGGTCCCTGCCTTTGCACTTAGTGTAGAGGACAAACCCTTCTTTCCACACTTGGTAAATAGGCCGGAAAATTATGGTAAGGAAATTTTCCCGGTCAAGGATGACTATCTGGCTGATGGAATGATGCCTGAGAAGAGAGCACAATTTGATAAATGGTATGAACAACACAAGAATGAGCCTTTCAATCTGGATGAATCCCTGGCATCATATTGTACCAATGACGTGGAAATTCTTATGGCTGCTCTGGTTGCTTTTCGGCGCGAATTTTTGGAGGTTTCAAATGGATTGGACGTGCTGAGGGAGTCAATGACAATCGCCAGTGCTTGCATGAAACACTTTAGGACGAATCATCTTCAATCTCAACACCTTGGAATTGTTCCAGAGAAGGGCTACGACAACGCAGACAATCAGAGTTTGCTTGCTCTTCGATTCCTCAGCTGGTACGCTGAGGAACATAATGTCAACATACGTAATGCTTATTCTAAAGAAGGGGAAAAGAGGTTTGGGAATTATAGGGTAGATGGGTGGGTAGAAGAAAAGAAATTGGTTATCGAGGTCAATGGGTGTTGCTGGCATGGGTGTAAGAAATGTTTTCCAGATGATGAAATAAGACTTCCAAATGGGGTTTCTGCGGGGATTCAAAGGGAGAGGGATGAAAAACGTTTGGAATTTATTGAGAGTTTTGGAGTAGAAGTGGAGGTTTTTTGGGAGTGTGAAATAAGGAGCATGCTTTCAAGGGATAGAGTTATGAGGTTAAAGTTTAAGAACTACTTGGATAATGGACCGATCGATATTCGATCGGCCTTCTTTGGGGGGAGAACCGGACCACTCAAATTATTCCATAAAACGGGGGAGGGGCAAAAAATTTCCTACTATGATGTGACCTCCCTGTACCCGTTCATCAATGTATCAACACGCTACCCAATTGGTCACCCTGTCGTCCATATTCTAAACAACGATGTCAACTGGACTCAACCATCTGACAACACTTATGAACTGGCTCTTCTAAAAATTTTTGTGATACCTCCACGCAGCATCGACGTACCAGTACTTCCTATGAAAATTGGAGATGACGATGAAAGACTTCTATTTCCCCTTTGCTCCACTTGTGCAAAGGAAAATCCAAATGGGGATGTGAACGAGAACTACACTTGCAAACACACAGACCAACAACGTGGATGGGTCTCAATTTGTACATCAATTGAGTTGAACGAAGCATTGAAGGAAGGTTACGTGGTCACCAAAGTCTTCAGAGTCTTGGAATATAAAAATTATGACGACAACCTCTTTCGTCCTTACATTCGTGAATTTATGGCACAAAAAATTCACGCAAGCGGCTTTGACAACGACATCAAAGGAAACAAACAGATGGAAGAGAACTTCATCAAGGAGTGCAAAGAAAAGTTTGGTATCATCATCGACAGAGAGAAAATGAAGGTCAACAAAGGAAAGAGGACGCAAGCTAAATTATGCCTCAACAACTTATGGGGTCGCTTCTCTCTCCGTAACTTTGGATTGTCACAATGTGTGGTTACGGACGACCCTGCTGTGTACACCAAATATTCAAACGACCCTTCACTAATTATCAACTTTTTTGAAGAATTAACTGATGATCTACTGCTTATTTCCTACACCAAAAAGAAGGAATTTGTTGAAGAACATGACTCATCAAATGTCATCATCTCGTTGTGGACTACATCAGCAGCGAGAATCCACTTGCTACATGCTATGCAACAGGTTGTGAGAACTCCTGGCTGCACATTGCTCTACACCGACACTGACTCCTTAATATTTTCACACCCGATTGACAACTGCCCACTTCAACTTGGTCCTCATCTGGGTGAATTCACAGATGAGTACCCTGCCTTCAAAATTTTGGAATTCTGCTCTGGTGGCGCGAAACAATATGGCTTGAAGATGGAAAAGAAAGATGAGCCTGGGTCTGAACCTGTCTACGTGCTCAAGGTGCGCGGTATGACTTTGAACTGGGATGCAATCAACAATCAAGGAATGCGGTATGACATGTTTAAAGAAAAAGTTTTCAACTTTGCTGAAGGTGATTATGATCCTATTATTGTTTCTTACCCGAATTTTTTACTTCCATCTGTTAAAGATGGATCAGTTACCACTCTTCCTCTTAAGAAAATTTATAAGCCCTATGTCGGAAAGGGAGTAGTCCGCCCTTCTGATTATTCTGTATTGGACTTTGGATATATCAACTTGTAATTTTTCCCAAATTAACTTGGAGATGGAAAGTAGCCAGGGGTATGGGCACCCAAACTCTATACCAACCATCGTAATGTTGCGAGTCACACCACTCATTGACTTGTCGATGAATATCAAGTGTGTTATTCACATATTGTGTGGTAATCCTCGCATTGAAAATCGGTGGTAGCTGACTTGAGTAAATTCTCAAGTCCCTGGTTGAGTTTGGTGATGTCTGTCAAATGGCGAAGCCATTCTCCTTCTTTTTTTCTATATTTTCCTATTTTTATTCATTTATTTAATCACTATTGTATTTAATTTTTATTCGTGATAAAAATTTTATAATATGCTTTTTATTATTTAAAAAATACAATATTAAGAAAAATTAAGATGAAATGAATTACAGAATTAAGAGAAATAGGTTTACAATTTTAGGGGTAAAATTGCATAATTAAGGAAAATTGTTTACATTTTTAAAAAACACATTTACATAATTATGTGTAAAGTGCAGAATTAAGGAAAAGAACATTACAATTTTAGGGGTAAAATTGCGGAATTAAGGAAAAATATTACATTTCTATCATTTTTCAGTGTAAATAGGGGTACATACAAGGGAGTGCATATACATATAGGGTGCATGGATATCTTTACCATTTGTCCTGACTTAGGTCTCCTCTATAAATTTCATCATCATCTTCCTTGTTCATAAATATTGTTGGACTTCCAAGTGATGAAATTGATTCAGTTTTTGATTTATCTTCTTGTAGTGTTAAACGCCCCATCTCTACTGCTAAACGATTTATCTTATCCATGTGTTCTTCATCAACGAATTCCAATACTTCCAAAGGATAAAAACGATCCTTCTCTTGCGGTCTGCGATCGATAACACAATTTAAATAAGGGTTGCGCAGACGGATGCGATGTCTTGCGTAAAAATGTTGTGATATAGTAACATTATATGGTCTTCTAAGTCGTCCATAGGCGAAAATTCTGTTTGCGCCTTTTCTTGTCAAACCTCCGAATAGAAAGGTTTTTCTTTGATAATTTTTGTTTAAATATGTTGTTTGGACTTTACGATCCAAAAATTGTTTCATAACTCGTATACGAGTTTGAGGATTTACTAGGTGTCCGCTTAGACTAAGGACTGAACATTCAAGAAAGCGAGCGATTTCATCGATTACACGGACCATTTTTGAAGAATGAGTTTAAAAATTGAAGAATGAAAATTTTTTCAAAGTATTTTGCTTATATATGCCTCGGATCTCTTGATTTCATAATTGTTTATTTGACCTAGTTACATTTTTAATTTGTTACTTACTCCCCGCTGTGACGTGTGACCTATTTAATCGACTTGAATCTTAAACACAATTCATTATTAAAATGAACGAGGAAAGTTACGAAATCATAAGATTCGTCAACGGAGTTTGCGAATATCGCGAATTTAAAATAAGAACCTATGTGCATTCAATTAATGATGCTCTAAAAAATCACATTCAACTTGACATGGGGGCAAGACTTAGTATTCTCATCAATTACTTTAGAGCAGGTAAATGGTGCTCTGACTGTCTTGGTTTTGTTGTGAAACAAATGCAGGAAGAAATATTGGTTCCTAAGGATGAAAAATCTTTTGTATATGCTTTCTATCTATGTCCAGAATGTGCAGATATTACAAAGAACTATCTCGATAATTTATAAGTTTTTTCACAATTTTTTGTACAAATAAATCTGGATCATTTTGTTTATCTAATAAAGTTAAATATTCATCAAAGTTGTATCCCTTTGAAAGATAATAGGTAAATGAAATACAGTGTTGGGCACAACAATTTGAATAAGGGGACTGATATGTTCTAGCATTTCTAGTTACAATAGAAAAATTTTTTAGAAACGAATCTATAATACAAATACTTGTTGGAAGGTTTAGACTATCAAAATAGATTGCCTTTCTTTTATCTTGTACGTAAATGGAAATCCAATGTGAACCTTCAAATCCCTGAGGGTCCAAATTTACAATCAATACTTTTCCTTTCATCGGTTCAGGAAGAGCATTACATGGAAAACATCCTTGAAAGATTGGATTTGTGTAAGGGCTGGAGTTCAATATCGTTGCTATCTGAATGTTGTACATTATTTTTAGGAATATTAGTTTTTAACCAAAAGACTGAGCGCAGTTGATATATAACTAGGCTGACAAAAAGCATAATATATAGTCCAATCATACTCCAACAAAAAACATGACTGTAAAAACTATTGTCTTGTGGTTCTTCTTTGCATAATTCAATTGCTGGGAGAGTTAGTATTGGTGGACTTGGTGCTGAAATTCGTTCAATAGTGTAATTCTTTTCAGGGTATCCTGCTCTTCTCAAATATTTTGAATACTCTGGAATTTCTTCCAATTTATCCATAGCTTCTTTAGTTAGCTCAACACTCGGAGCAAATAAACGGATTAAAAATAAAGATAGTAAAATTCTTTTCATTTTTTTTCAAATGGTTGTATCACTAGCTATGGTGCGGTTTTTATCCAGCATTATAAGGGAGTCTGCCTCACCCATCACAATGAGCATAGCTCCGCCGTCTGGAACAGGTTGGTTAAATTTAATATGCACAGCTGTCGTCCCATTTTTGATCAAGTCAAATGTTCCACTATTATCGTCCCCACTATTTGTTAGGTTAAATACATATATGCAATGTGTTTTTCCATATTGTTGGTAAGTGATCCCATTATTTTCGTTGGAATTTATTAAACCTGTACCTTCATTCATATCGTGGAAGGCTCTAACATATCTCCCATTCTTATAATCAAAGTCATAGGGCGCCTGTGGATAAGGTCTTCCATTAGCAATAATACTAATTTCTCTAACATTAAAATGTTGAAAGTTGAACGGACTTCGTCCAATATTCCCGACATAGTCTGAATTTGCAACTAGTCCTAGTGTGAGTCTTCTAGGAATTTGATCCATGAATAGATTTGCATTAAATTCATAACGACCTTGACTTATGAAAAGAGGTTTCATCATTGTTTTCCTTATCGCATAACGAGCAGGTTTAGTTTCTAATTTTCTTGCAATATCTAAAGAGAGTCCATCCATCAGATCAACCTTTTTCACATAGAGCTTACAGCTTACAACTTCAAATTGGTAGGTTGATGTTTGTGCTACACCGTTAACTGGTGGGGCAATCAATACAAATTTTGCCTCATTTGGGAGTATCTCAACGTCAATCTCACAATGATTGATTAAATATAGAGGCTGATTGAATATGTCTGCGTCAAGTTTTGAAATAAATTGTGCAGTTTTACTAAAAGAAAATAGACTTTTACTTGTAGTGAATGCAGTGCCTCCTTCAAGATTTGTGTCTGAATCATAATAATAGCCTGCAGCATTTAAGTGAGAATTTTTTGCTCCTTGAGAGTAAGACAGTTCATGTGAAAAGTATGTTTTGTACGCATAGAGGGAATTTGAATTAAAAATTTCTCTACCGTTTACATTAATTCTCATGTTATTAATAAAAGTTTGACCTATGAGTTGTATTGGTGCAACATTATCTGTTGCTGCAAGGTTTGTTAATTTTCCATCGGTATCTACTTTTTTAATACGAAACTCTGTGAATAGATAGACTTTAGATAAATCTATATAATTTTGACTGCTATGAATTTTAAAGTGGTAAGGTGTATCTGATAGAGGATTGCTGGGTAGGATTTCAAAGTTTTTGGACGATGAAATACTTACATTTGTAGGTGGAACTTGGAAAAAATCTAGTGCGTTTGTGATAGAATTTATACTATCACGATCAATTTTATGAAAGGACATTTTAATAAAATCCAAAGGTATCAGATCTTAATCTTTTTCTTTTTAGAAATTTTTGATGACTGGGAACTGGTTTCCTTTTTATACCCCTTCCAGCTCCAAATTGTTTGGGTAAGCCTCCTTTCTCTAATACTGTGTCAATTCCCTTTTTTCCTTCCGAGACTAGTGCTTCTTTTACTAGTTCTCCTTGAATAACCCTACTTAGTGCTCGTTGGCCTGTATTTAGTGCTTCCTCTGATACAGTAGTACCAACTCTTTTCATAATTGGAAGGAAATATCTCCAAATACCTCTCATAATGTCTCCAACTCCGGCTCCTTTTTGTCCATATCCTCTTTGAAAAGGAGCTGCTCCTTTGAAGTATTCATCTGAGACTCCATCTCCCCTCATTGGGAGAAAATCATCATAACTTACAGTGTTTGTATCAAATAAAATGTGAACCATTTTTCGTTAGAATGAAATTTAGAAATTTATGACCTTCTTAAATATGAGGACCAGTAGCACCGTCCCGAATTCAAATGGTACTAGTCGTCCGTTATCCATTGTTCTAAGTTCAATCTCAATCTCATTAACTTCCTTTGGTAGGACCCTTGCGTAAATGGGTGAATCGTAAATTTTTTCATAATATTCTCCAGGTGTTGCTCCTGCAACAGAAACAACTCTCAATAGCGAGCTGAGTGAGTTACCGATAATCATATTTTCGGTAAGTCCCTTAGAGTATACTGCAAAACTTGAAAATCCTCCGCGTAAATCACAGCCATATTTGGCTACTTCATTATTTCGAACCATATCAGGGTTTTCAAATCCTAACACATAACCAAGCTGATTTGAAAAGGAAAGATACTTTATCTTTGGATGATTGAACTTGACTTTAAATCTTTCAAAGTCAACGTGATAAAATATTTCAATTGCATCAATAATTTGTTTTTGGACTGATGAATCTATTTTGTCCTTTTTTAATCTACCATACTGACGCAAAAGTGCTGGCATATTTGGTAAATAGTTTATTCTGGCTTGTCTTGTTGGTGTTTTTCCAAGAATTTTTGTTAGTACATGTTCCATTTCTTCAGTCCACAGAGGATCTTTAAAGATAGCTTCAGGTTCTGGAAGTTTTGGAAGTGTAGGTGAACTAGGTGAGGATTGCCCTTCGGTTGAAGAAGGAGATAGAGATCTTAATTCTTCTTCATTTTGTGTTAAAGGTAGAGGAGTGGGCAGAGAAGGTTGTGTTGGAGGTTGAGGAGTCGTAAGCTGAGGGGAGGGTTTTGGTCTTTGAGGAGCAGATTCTGGTGGTTGAGGTAGAGTTTGTGAAGTGGGTTTCGGGGGTTGAGGTGTTGTGGGTTTTGGAGGCTGTTGTAGAGTTTGTGGAGTGGGTTTTGGAGGTTGAGGTGTTGAAGGTTTTGGAGGTTGAGGTGTTGCAGGTTTCGGAGGTTGAGTTGTAGTTTGAGGAGTCGGTTTTGGAGGTTGTGGAAGTTGTGGTGAGGGTTGTGGCGGAAGTTGTGGTGTAGGTTTTGGAGGTTGTGGAAGTTGTGGTGAGGGTTGTGGCGGAAGTTGTGGTGTAGGTTTTGGAGGTTGTGGAAGTTGTGGTGAGGGTTGTGGCGGAAGTTGTGGTTTGGGTTTTGGGGGTTGGGGAGTCGGCTTTGGAGGTTGTGGAAGTTGTGGTGTAGGTTTTGGAGGTTGTGAAAGTTGTGGTGAGGGTTGTGGCGGAAGTTGTGGTGTAGGTTTTGGGGGTTGGGGAGTCGGCTTTGGAGGTTGAGTTGTAGTTTGTGGTGTAGGTTTTGGAGGTTGTGGAAGTTGTGGTGAGGGTTGTGGCGGAAGTTGTGGTGTAGGTTTTGGAGGTTGAGGAGTCGGTTTTTGAGGTTGTGGAAGTTGTGGAGTGGGTTTTGGAGGTTGAGGTGAAGTTTCTGGCGTAGGTTTTGGAGATTGTGGAGTCGGTTTTGGAAGTTGTGGTGTAGGTTTTGGAGGTTGAGGAGTCGGTTGTGGAGGGTGTGGTGATGGAGTTGGGGATTTTGTTTTGGGTGGTGGAGGTTGAGGAGTAGGTTTTGGAGGTTGCGTAGGGGGTTGGATTGGCTGTTTAACAGGTTTTTCTTGTTCCTTTTCTGGTGATTTGCTTCGAGGCGAAGTTTTGAATTCCTCTTCATCAGATGATAGAAGTGGAAGATTTTTAAGCTCCTCTTCGTCGGATGATAGTACAGGAAGTGATTTAAGTTCGCCTTCAGGCGATAGACGTGGGAGTGATTTAAGTTCACCTTCAGGGGATAACTTACGTTTAGGCCTGCGGACTTTGGGTTTATCAACCAATGTTTCTGGTAAATCCAAAGGCGAAGATTCTAATGTATTACTTTGGTGTTGTAAAGTAGCTATTATGAATTGAAGCAACTCTTCTGTTGAAGTATGTGAACCTCTAGGGATGGGGACACGGATAACACTAGCTTGCCCATCATTTCTAGTAAAATGGATGTCAATCCATTGTTCATCTAAGGTACCGATAGTTGAAGGCCACGAATAAGGGTAGCTAATGCTATGAAGACCACAAACCCAGTCACCAGAAAAATATAAGGGTTTTGGTAAATGGACTCTAAATTTATTTGGTTTGTTATCGGGGTAATCGGGGACATTGCTAGGAAGATAGACAAAAAATGTGTTTGACATTTTTTTACTTGTGAATAGTGAAAAAATCTGTTCTTTTATACTAACTGCGTCTCATGAATCCACTCTCTTTCAGGGTATCCCATAAACTTTACTAAAAGATCATATGTTCCATCTGGTCTCTTTTTCTTTTTCACAACTTTTTCAATTCGATATTCAGTATCATCATCCTTACGAACGCGAGCTAATTCCTCGTTATAGAATGATCCTTTAAACTTTTCACCCTTTTCATCCTGGACTTTGTAGCGAATGGGATCAACATTATCTTTAACTCTTTCAATTTGCAATATTTCATCTCCCCAGTTTGGGATGTATCCCTTTTCGAATACTCCTTTCCCTACGCTCATTCTGATATAATCTCCTTTCTTTAACTTGGGTCTCATCCTTTTATTTGAAAATACGTCACCATATATCATTTCCCATACATCTTGAGCATTATCAAAATTTACGTCTATAGGTCGCATACCATGTACTCTACTTTTTGCTTTATTTATTCCCTCGATAATTTTGGGAAGGACTTGAACCCAATCCAGAGTTTTATTTTGGGCAAAGTACCGATAAATTCTTTGTTTAATATTACGTATAGCTCTCTCAGCCAATGAGGCCTTAACAGTAGAGTGAGTTGCCTCTAATTTTTGAATCTCCTCTTTGTGGAAAAATTCTTTCATTAGAGAATTTTTAAATTCTGTTCCTTTATCCGAAAATATACGATGAGGTTTCATAGGCATTTGTTTTAATAATGAATCAAATGCTTTTACCATATTCTCTCCGTTT